CTATTTTATTCGTCGTACCCACTCTATCTAGATTACTTCTAGTTGGTGATTCTCTTATCCACTCCACTCCTGTCGAGTCCTACTGATACTCCATATTGGCCAGCTCAGCCTTGGTTTCCAAGGTTACAATCTGCTCCTCTTACACTTTCTCCCTCCCTTCTTCATCAACCTCGATTATATATCCTACATCCCAACCTTCACATCCTGCATCTTCACATCTGGCTTTTGTCCACTCCTTGGCAAGATGTTCTGGTTTCACAAATCGAGTCGCTTTCTTGTTAGTTAGTTCCATTTGTCCATCTGTCATGGAGGTGTACCAATGCAAGAAACCCAATCATTATCACTTTAAACACAGTCCTTTTCTAGACTTCCCTAAAGACCACAGCAGTTAAGTGGTTGAAATGTAGAGTATAAACCAGGTGGTATAACACATTTAATGATAAAATAAGAGTAAATAAGTAGTAATTGGACTTACGTGATCAAAGAGGCTACCAATCAAGGGAATGTAACCATATTGTAACTACTGAACACTTGGTATTTTGCTAACTTTTATGAAAAGTAAATGTTTCTTAAAAGCACATGGCTAACCTGTCTGAAGGCTAATTATTCGTCTTAGCCAAATGGTTAAAAACAATGATGATGCTAAGATTTTCATTGAATAAATATTTTCTAAAGTATCAAAACCTCATTAATTACCAAGGAATTATTTGTTTTACTGCAGAATATTCTCCAGATCTGTGAACGAATCCCAACAATAGGAACTCAATTGAGAATTCTGTCCACTGTGAAAGCAACGATGTTGGGGGCTCAAGGTAAGAATGCTTGTTTTTTAGCAGGTTAAAACTGCAAATATTTTCTCCTATTCTGGTTTATCCAACCCCATTCTGGTATACAGAAAAAAATATGAAGTTTAATATATGATGGGCATAAAAGTAATACCATGTAACATGTGGACAATTAGGTAGTAGGTGAGCTGTTACTTAAGAAAGAACAGGAAGTACATGTAATTCTTCATGTACATAAAACGTAGCAACATGAAACATAAGGCTAACCAGATGGACAAACAGGAAGTATTGAATAAGTAGAATAATGTGAATTTGTTGATATGTTAAGTATAAACAGCAAGAGGAAGCACAAAACATGCAACACCTAGCATAAGAAGGAATAGTAAGTTGTTAACGTATAACACATGCTTTATGCAAATATATTAGAATTTAGCACATGTAATATTTAACAACTAATTAAAATAATACTTGTAAAATATTAAATAGCAAAATGTAGGTAACCTGAAGTTAGTTACTGATGTGTGAAACAAATAACAAGTATGCTAACAAGAGTTTAATGTATAATAAAAAGAATAACAAGAAATACAAAATATGAAACTGTGTACATAAAACTGGTAATATGTATCATATTGAACACTAGGTAATAGATGACATGAAGCAGAGAGAACAAAGTGTTGTTGAGCTGTGAACTACAATAAAATTGATGTTGGAAATTGTTTAGGTTGCAGGTAGTAAATATATATTTAATAGTGTATTAAAATAGCATTATTACCTGTTTTAGGCCTGTAAATAGGATAGGTCATGATAGAGTTTTTGTTGTAATAGATAGTTCATTAAGAAAAAAAATGAGTATCTTTATGGGAAATACAATCATAAAAAAAAAGACATGAAATACATTAGCTTTTCTAGTGTAAACAGTATCTTAATTAACTTAAAATGCTTTCATTCTTCTATTGCAGTATAATAAATATATTAGATTATACACATGTGGTAAGTTCCCTTTTTAGACAGTTTTAAAATATTAGGTCATCAAGAAATTAATGTCGTGTTTTGGAACACTTTCATTAACCACCCACCAAAAAACATACATCATATATAATAGTTAAATGAACTGCCTAAACATCACATTAGTGTAGCCTATGTAGTGTGTAAAGTTTAGTATACTCTAAACCAGACATTCCCAACCTGGGGTACATG